TATAATTCGAGCTGTAAGAGAACGTACACAATAATTTACTTGCGTTTAGCGTTAGTTAACATTGTTATAAGCCTTTACACAAGTCGTTGAAGGAAAAGCTCCTTCCACAAAGCTATGTTCATAACAGTAATAATCAATTCTACCTCACTTATATAGTCAATGCTTGTACTATGAAGAGGGGCAATCTACCCCAGGAATAGCTATCAAAAGGCAACGGTAATGAAATTTGTAGTCAGGCATTCCACACTGCTTTATAAGACACTAGTAGAGTACCCGTCCTTCGTATGGGGTTGGCATATAAGTATAAACTGCTTATTGAAGTTACTGTAAACTCAAGCTTTGCGTTTACAATAGGAGAGTAGGACACATTTTGATCAAATTTGCTTCTTTAAATTTAAGGTATACCATAGTATTACACACATACCATAGTCATATTGTTTTACCACTTCACCTAAACAATAGAGACAAATAAACAAAAATTCGCAAAATATCACAAATTATTCCTGAAACTAAAACATAACTGTAAACAATCTTACTTTGACAGTTAATTCTCATTCAAATTAGCTGTTTTCATAAATACAAAAAATATAGTGCTGCATCCTGTTGGTAAATCTTATAACTTTTTAATGCTTTTGCATATCATAGAACCAACTTTTTAAGTTGAAACAGCTGACTAAATTCTTTAATTCCCTTTAAATATGAATACTCATAAGGTTAACATGGACAACTAAAGAGCCACTGGGGCGAAGCCCGAAAGGATTTTTGAGATAAGAATACGCCTATATGCTAATCGGGAATGTGAGCTATAATCATGCCAAATTTCAGCCCAATCCATCCATTAATGCGTGATTGAACTTCAAACAAACAAACAAACACACAAACTTTCACATTTATAATATTAGTAAGATTATTTAGCCTCCAGTAAACTAAAAACTAATATATTATTAGCATTAATATCTTTAGTAGAAAACAAAAATTACATGTTTAAGAACGGTTAAAGATGATTTTGATGTTAAATGTCTCCTTTAGGTATGTTAAAATAATCAAAGAGTTTTGGCATTAATATGACCAAAAAGAAATTATCATTTAAGGTTTGTCCTATGTATTCTTATCAGAAAAGCTAAAACGATAAACTTATTGATTATCTGTTACCATTTCTCTTAAATTATCAACTAATGTATCCCTCCATCAACAGGTGTGCTTTATATAGTAAATACACCAAGGGCGTAAACTTTCCTCTTCCAACCGTTGAAAAACCCGTAAAGCATTCAATTTGTATTTTTGAACAAATAGACTGATTCAATACAAGCTTAACATCGGCAAGAGTTAAAAAGCTTGATCCACTACAGTGTTAAACTAATTAAAAAAACCTGCATTTTTTATAAGTCTTCTTATTATCTCCCTACATTGGCTTCTCTTTTGTTTCGAGGTTTTAAAAGAATCGGTGTTATCGACTGTATCTTTTCTATTTTATCTCTCACAGTTGTGTAAAATATAAGTTAACAAGGAAGAAAAATGTTAAGCGGACATTCTCGACTCCAGTGGATTTCTTTTTACACTTGAAATAAAAAGATCGGCTCTAATCCCACATAGCATAGATGCACATATGCATAGTTCTATTGGTGTTAACATAAAAAAGGGAGCCTATTTTATAATTGTAAATTTACTGGAGAAAATCGGCTGTTTTTATTAGAATAAAAACAGCCGATTTTCTCCAGTAAATTTACAATTATAAAATAGGCTCCCTTTTTTATGTTAACACCAATGCCAATATATTCAAGAGATTGACTTATTTACTAAAATCATGCAACATTACCACAAAATCAGACACCAATGCCGTAACCAAAATTATAATTTGTACATAGTGGATGTTGACTTGTTTAGAGAGCGCAAGGCGGAGCAGGTGTGTGTATGTGGTTAGCTTGAGGTTGTTGAAAGCTTCCGACGAAAATGGTTTAACGTACATTTACTACATTTATGGTTTGTGAATATTAACAATAATATTGTTTAATTCGTTATTATTATGACGTGTCATGGGTAATGTTGTTTATAGTTTCATCTCCAAATACAAGCTACAACTATCTAATTTTAAAAACGGGAATTTCTTAATCAATAAATGCCTGGTCAAAGTTAATTTATTCGTAGAACTTCAGGTCAATTTAATTGAGCGATTCTTCTTGGATTAAACAAAAATTGAAGCGTAACATTATTTTAAGATTATGTTTAAAAATGTCCAGTAAGTTTCGATGACGTTAATATGCTACTAGACAGTAAATTTATCAACGTGTTTTACTCTTTGCTTAAAATATAAGAGGTAAATAATTAGGTAACAAATAGATTAGATACGGTTGTTACACTTTTATGTCTGGAAGATGTACAAAGATGTTAACTTCAAAACTTTCTTTATTTTCTGAGACAGAAGCAGAGCATAAAATTATATCCACCTAAACCAAAAGGTTATAAAGCATTTTATTATGGAACATGTTAAACTAACATGAAATATGTATGGGATGAATTCCCTTGTGTAAATTCGCTATAAATACGTCGGCTGCGCTCTAATTTTAAATCTAAAATTGTTTTGGTTGACCGTATGATTTAATTTACATTGAGCACACTGTCAACGGACACAAACTACGTATAATGATTTATTCAAACATAAAATCTCTGAAACTACTATGGTTAGTAGTACGTGGATTTATGGTAAATTCTCATGCAGTTTGTTAATATAAACATTGTTTTAGTGTATTCATGATAAGCAATAATTGTCATTTTGTCTTTTTATGGATTGTCAGTTTTTTAGAGGAATGGTAATAAATTTCCACTCAATATTGTAATCCTAAATTGTTTTAGTTATATGACTGATGAGTTATTGTGCAATGACATAAATAATTGATTGTCAGTTTCCTGAACCGTAGTAAATTTCTAATTAATATTGTAAACTAAAATGATTTGGTTTTGGGCTGTGTAGGGTCCATTAAGCATTCTGCCATCACTTATAATGTAATATTCTGTATAGCTATTTATTCATTTTATATACAGCTATACGCCATTAACAACATTTCGTTCATTTTTGGAAGAAGTATTAATAATTAATAACCGATATAATTTTAATAATAACAATAATAAAGTATAATTTTACGGTTGTATAATATAATGTTTCATTATATAACAAGCATGAAACTGTGTCAATAGACTTTAGAAAAAGACAACATGACAGGGACCTCAAAAATAAAATAAGCTCGACACGAAAAAAAACTCACACAGAAAACCTTATGAAAAATAATCAAGAGTAGCCATTTAAAGACGCCATCAACCTCACAACTATCACTATAATGCGACCCATTAAAGGCACCTCTTAGAGACCAACAGTATATCACCGCTCTGCAGAATCACAAAGGAAGAGGCCTCAGGATAGCTGCCGATTTGCTGTTTTTGAAGCCCAGGAGAGATGGACCGAAGAAGTAAACCTCAGAGGAAAATCGTCAGGTCTCATAAGCCTTGGGACATGCAATTTCTATCACATTTAATACGTCGTAATGAGAATAATTAAAACAACTGTTCTTTTAGCGTATTTATGATGAGTGTTTTTGCATTAGACACTGTCTTAGGTTGATAAACTGCTACTATCTGGGTTGTTCTAAGTTTACTGAAACGTCCTTGTTAAGTCCCCAATTAATGTTTTGGCTGCAATGACATATGCACTTACCCGTTCATTGTAACAAAGTGGATAAATACTCAATCAATATTGTAATAGAAGTAGTTTTAATAGGATGGATGAGGTAATTAGATCATCAGACAGAAAATTTAACAGCCCAAATAAATTTTAATTTACTATTTTCACGTCTGTAAGTTTCCAATCAATTTTGTAAGTTCAAATGATTTCGATTGTAAACATGGGTTTTTGGAAATTTTTATCATGGCTCAAACTGCAAGTTTAGTTAACTCTAACAATATCATTAAATTTCCAATCAGTTAGAAATCCAAAATCGGTTTGGTTGTATTTATTAGGCGTTTACTTATATAGAGAATAAAGTAATCAGGATGTAATGCCCTAGGTTTTGGGTCCATTGATGCCCATTCCCTAAAACCATTTTTATAATAATTTCTCGATAATTTCGTAAACACAAAACAGTTTTGATTGTTAAACTATGCGGCTATCATCAAGTGCAATCTGTATTGTAGAAATATATAATCCTATGTATATATATATATGCATCAATAACTGTTAGTTTATCATAATCACAGATTTTAATAAAATTCTGTACGTGAAATGAATTTTTTTTGTAACGAAAAAAAGTGTCAACAGACATAAACTGTAATTTAAATAATCGTTAGCTTAATCCACTGCAAAGAGAAACTTCCATTCAGTGTTGTAGTTAAATATCGTTGTGATTCTAAGCTTTATTTACATTGTGTAAACTGTCATTAAGTAAAAATCACCTAAATATTTTCCCTGTAGAGAGAAAAATGTTATCAGTAAACTTGCAATCAATCTAGTAATCCGACGGTCCAATACTCGGGACGCGTCCATTGGAAACATTAATCACGCGACTAAAACCTCATTTAAAAACTCGTTAACCAAACCAACACTTTGCAATTGAATACGTGGAGCGTGAAAACCCCAGTAATTTATTTCATTACCCCTCTATGAATACGGAATACGAAGTAAAATGAAACAGCAATTAATTAAAAGCCATTCCGAGCTCGGACAATCAAAGCGTTCACGGTGCGGGAAACTGAGGTTAGTTTTGTAACTTAGGAAATATTTGGCACACTGAAACTGCAAAAGGAACTTTGTGAGTTGTGAAAACAACGAAAGCTTATGCGAGCCACTTAACTGATTAGAAGATTATCTAATTATCTCTGCATCTTTCGACGGAATCAACGATGTCTCAACGAGTAATTAGTCATTCTTTTATCGACGCTAGTTGCCGAAGTGAGCCGAAGATGCCCGATGATTCCCAAGCCACCCCATCCCCCACCCACTCGCTGAATGTTCACAACATAGCGCGCTGACGCTCGCCGTGTACGTAACGTGTTGTGGTTGTGTGTGTCGAAACTTTTGTAGTGTAAGGTTTGGGGATTTATAACAATACTTATAGGTAAGAAAATTGGCTACAGCTGTAATCTTCTATATACATTTTAATAGTTATTCTACTACCTTGTTAGGATTTGAATGGATTAACATTTTAATCGTTAACTGTTTTTTATACATAAAAAAACTTCAGTCAGATGAAAAAGAAAGTAAAAAAAAAAAAAAAAAAACACGATCCATGTGTCCATGAGGAAAAATATTAGAAGACAAGGCTCAGATTAAGACAATATGAAAATTACGGATAAAAGAACAACACATCTCAAGGGATCAGCTATATTTTGTATAATTGACAGCATTTATCGAGTTTCCCGTTAATGTAAAATGAACAACGTTATACAACGGTTGAAGTTTAACAAAGTCGGAGGTGCCAAGTTATTAGAAGTAAGGCTACAATAAAAGGTGACATAAGTAATTTCAGAAGTTTTATGCTCTATATTCTTCGTACAAAAGTAAACCCATGACTTTTCGATTAGAAGTACATAAAAGCTTACGTCGTGATGATAATTTATAAAGCAAGAGCGTTTTTTGCACACACCTAGTTATATGTTGTTTTGATCAGCATGGACCCTTAAGATAAATAAATGTCGTATTAAATATATGTCATAAAACCCTTTTAGAAAATTTCCCCTATAAGAAAGACCTATTAATATGCGTGGTGTTGACTTAGACTTCAGACCGATTGACTTTTTGTTGATGTCCCTAGAAACAAACACAGAATTCGTTAACATTTATATAATATATGAATCCATGTGTCTGTGTGTGCATAAACACGGTAAGTCAATTTCCCCCATTTTGATGAAATTCAGCGTGAATGTGTATTGTAGGCTGAATAAACTTAATTGAGTCCGAGAACTATCAAGGTGATGAGAATAAAGTGTTATGAGATTTTTATAAATTTTAAAAAGCAGCTTTTTCGAATAACTACCATTCAATCATAAAAGTACCTAATATTTTTTAGTCATCGTGTAGAACTAAAAAACAATAATGTTGTGCAAAATAGAAATGCACCTTTATGTGTTCATGTGTTTTAAATTTCATTTTTTGTTGTAAAAAAATAAACAGTTTTTTACTTTGCTTTTCTATATTTTCAAAAATTAGGAAAATTCTTTATTTTCATACTTTGTCAACTGTTTACCAAAAAGAATTTCATTCCCTCTAGAAGCAAACCTAAAGTACTCACAAAACGTAAATCATTCGAATCGGGAATACATCTGACAACTTCAACGAAAGCTTTTGGTTAAAATACAATGCGGCAAATGGAAATTCGCCTAGTCTGCTGGTTTGCTGTTGCAGGGGTTTTATGCATCATAAAACGGTGTTTTGATTGTCTTACTATTGAATGATTACCCTAAAATTGCGTATATAAAATCGTGTTTCAAACATATTTGCCTACTTAAATTAATGTAAGTACACCAATAAAAGTATAAAAATTAATACTAAGCGAACTTCTAATAAAGTATTTTTAAAACAGAGTACTAAAATAAACAATAATAGGCCAATAACATAGTTGAATACATAATTTATAAGACAATTACAAAGAAAACTTGTATATAAAAGTTATGATTATTTAAACACGTTGATGTTAAATTACTTTAATGAATGATTGGAATATTTTTCATCCATTACCCACTCACCTCTTCGACAAGAAAATACCAAATTGTTGGATGCGTTTACATTCTTTCCATAGCTTATGGATTTTTAGAAATTATCATATATTATGAAATACTATAGGGTGTTACTGAGTCAAATAGGAAAGCATTTCTGCTAACGCAGTTGGAATTTGTTGCATGTAGGAAATAATTTTATACAATATTCTAGTATCTTACAATTTTTACGTAGACCTATTTAAAATTTAACAAACTTAACATAAATTCTAAGGCTTCTGTCGTTTTAATTAAAGCCTAAGAAGGTAATTGAACTCGAATGATACGTTTTTTTGCCTTTTTAAGTCGTAGAAATCTGGACGTAAAGTGTATTTTTTTTTCGTAATTGCCCTTGTTGTATACGTAAACTTCGTCTTTCATTATCATTACTATTATCATTTTCAACAAACAAACATTGTTGTTATTGTTTTCATTGCAAACAATTGAAATATATCAAGACTTCAGTTTGTACGGAGTATATTTAAGTACATATTAGAACGTAATTACATTGAACCGTCAAGCTATAAATACAAGTTATTAGATCCAACAAAGTACACATCATTTTTTGGTTTACAAAAAAAAAATAATAGTGTAAAATTCAACTATCATTAAACTAAAGCAAATTTATTTTTTCGTCTCTAATTGGAAAGCAATATCCAATACATTGAACCGTCAAGCTATAAATACAAGTTATTAGATCCAACAAAGTACACATCATTTTTTGGTTTACCAAAAAAATAATAATAGTGTAAAATTCAACTATCATTAAACTAAAGCAAATCTATCTTTTTCGTCTCTAATTGGAAAGCAATATCCAATTAAGAGAGATTAAACTCCAACTTAAAAATGTATCGTTTAAGTTTCCTTAAAAGACGAACCCAAAGCGACAGTATGATTTAGTCAAGTAGTTGTCACATTGTTTGAAGGTTTTGGGAATTGTTGTGATTATATCAATCTCAGATCTCCAAAACTGCTCCAACTTTTAAATTAATCTCACATAACCTAACCACGCATCATATCATATAAAACTAATGAAACTATAATCCCTAAAAATAAACTTATAAACAAGTCCGCTCATCGTCCACATTTTCCCCGTGGTATCAATATTATAGAGACCTGGGTTTTTGTCACTCTGGCGCTTGAGGATTTATTCATGTAGACTTTGACATGTTATATATAAGGGTTTGTTTTTACATTTCGTACCTTCATATTAGTAAAATTATTTGAAGTATAATTTTAAATGCTGTGTTGTTTTTAATTGTTTACACATTTAACTGTGAGTCAAGGTATTAATTTTCTCTCGGCACAGTTTTCATGAAACATCCACAAAACTGATAATGCACTCTTGTCAATGTCCTACATTTTCCTACGACATCTCTATAATGTCGCCAACATGCACTTCACATGAGTATACTGTCAGCCTGTGGGCGTAAGTAAGTTAACTATCTGTTAGCTAACATCAAATTAGGTAAAATCGGGTTTTTTATAACATAACTATACAAGAGAAATACATTTTTAAATGAATTGTATATCAGAAATGGGACCAACATTTCAAAATAAATTCCGCTGAGTATTCTATCTTTGCACTTTAAGCACCGTAACATACGAAGCAGTTGAATTTTAGATTATGCTGGAAGATAATATATGTAAAAGTACCGAATATGAAATTCTGCTTTGTATACAATTTATACTTGTAAGTCCACGGCATGGTCTCAATATCGGATTGAAATAAGTCCTCAGAATAACAAGACCTGTTTAGCCTATGAATAGGGCAAAATTAAAAGATTGGCCAACATTAAAATACTCCATCTTAGAATTATAAATGCATTTGTTTACATTTTTAAAATGGTTTAGGACAACAAATCTATTTTAGTATATTTTATATTGTGAAAAATTAGACGAACAGAATCACAAAAATGCATAACTCTTCCGTAGATATACACACTGTATACGTAATTTATGTGTACTAAATTTACGTACTGATTCCTAGGGTCAAATTAAAAAGAAAGTTAAGCATAACATTTTTTTAAAAATCATTTTTTTAACCAGATATCCGCCATTTTGTATTTTTACATACACATTTTTATCTTTGAATTTTTTCAACCGATCTTTATGAAAAATTGCTATGTATGTTGAGGTTGAAGAAACCCATGTTAGAAAGAAAATTCATCTTGATTCAACTAAAAGTTTCAAAATGGTGCCAATTTCGATTTTCTTTACTTAAATTACAAAAAAATGATAGATTTTACGAAAAAATCTTACGAACACTTTTAAATGGCATTTGTAATTCCCTATCAAACAGAACCAAGTTCAAAAAGATCGATTAAGTAATAGCTGAAATATTAAGATTTGTATAATGGGGCATACCGGCATACCTGACTAGCTTCTGCCTTATTCTACCCCATTTTACAACTAAAAACCTATTGCTTTTTCAATCTCTTTGAACTTTGATAGGGTATCGTCTTTTTTATTTTACCGTATAGGCCCAGTCTTTTTTGGTATCGTTTGACAGGGAATTAGCTAAATAAAAGTATACTTAACATGTTATCATAAAACCAGCCATTTTTGAATAATTTAAGTTTAAAATTATAAAATGGCCACCGTTTTGAAATTTCTTGTTGAATCAAGATGAATTTTCTTTCTAACATGTGTGTCTTCTACCAATACATACAAAGTTTCATAAAGATCAGTTGAAAAAAATCTAAGATAAAAATGTTTATATAAACAATAAACAATTTGGGATATCTGGTTAACGGAGCGATTTTGGGAAAAATTTTATTCTTGATTTTCTATTTATTTTGACCCAAGAAATTAGTACGTAAATTATATGCCCACCTTTTTTGAAAACGGTTGAAGGTTTTTGAAAACCTTTTTTGAAATAATATTGCACATAGGAACCCATGTACTATCTATCTATTATCTATTTATGATAATTATAATTGAATTAATTAATACAAAAGCAGTTGACTACAGTAAATGCTTTTAGAAATTTCCATCTTGGCTAAAAATATTTTGAAGAAACCACATACATGATTATAGGAAAACTTTCTTCCAAGATTGCAACAATAGTTAGTCTTAAAATTCACTTTTTTCCTACAAGGTCAATATAGCAGCCATGTCAGAGTTTCGAAAGTACATATTTGTAGAGTTAGTCGAAAAAGTTTTGTATTTACTTTGCGGAATGAACAAGGAACCTGCGTTCTGTTTGGTTTTCTGTGTCCCCAATTCACAACTCACACACTTGAGTCTTAGGGAGCAAAATCCTGGAAATATGACGTCAAACAGAAAGTGTTTTAAGTACTGTAGTATTAAAACGTTTTTACATCTTCCAAAAAAATGGTATTAAATGCAATCTTTATTAATT